TTCGTCGAGAGAGGACTTGGGAAGCAAAGTCCTACTCAGTCCGAAGTAGCACATGCTGGCAAGAGTTATCCTGCATTTTTATTTCCAAGCTGACTTTGTTGGTGATGTTTACGMTGGTTCCAAGATAGACGAAATTATCAACAACTTCGAAGTTATGACTGCCAACAGCGACTACTGTTTGTTTGATGAGTGGAGATATTTCGTCTTTTATAGAAGATGGTACTTTCTCTATTTAGTTCTGCAACTCGTATTATTTTTTCCAAGAGTAGATTGAAGAAATCACATGAAAGGGAGTCGCCTTGTCTGAAACCTCGTTTGGTATCGAACGGCACGGAGATGTTCTTCCCGATCCTGATGGAGATTTTATTATTGTTTACGCAGTCGTAATAGTTTTGCGGGGATACCAAATTCAGACATCKCTACATAAAGGCAGCTCTTTTTCGTCGATGAAATAGACGTGGTGGTGTCGATTCTCTTTTCAAGGGTCTTTTACAAGATGTGTCACATGGTGAATATCTGGTCACTTGTTGATTTGCCTGGTCTAAAGTCCAATCAGTTTGTTGACGGTGGGCTTTAATCTTTCACACAATACGCTCGATAGAACCTTATATGCGATGTTGAGGAGACTTATCCCACGGYAGTTGGCGCAGATTGTGGGGTCTCACTTCTTGTGTATTGGGGAGCATGMCTTCATCCGAGCATATTTTACAAAGAAGCTGATGCATGCACCTTAYCAGTTCRTTCCCGCCGTGTTTGAAKMGCTCGGCTGGCRATCCRTYGGCACCKCCGCTTTGTTGTTCTTCAGACGGGTAATTGATATTCAAACTTCTTCATGTGCCGACCATGAACGGGGATACATACCCTCGTCGAAGTGTTCGAATTATTTATTGAGGAACTGAAAACCTTAAGAATAATGTTGCAAGATCAAATATTTTGTTTTCTGGGATCCAATATTAGGTATCATAAATAGGGCAAGAGCTGTAGTTTTACAACTTTTCTTACCATGAACTAAAATAAAACGGTAGAAATTTTTACTTACCGCATCTCGAATTCAATATCCTTGCTATYTAGTGATAAATGAAATAAATGAAAGCCTGAAATAATGTTTAAAGTGATGAAAAAATGTCAAAAATTTAATAAATTATTACACTCAAGTTGGGATATTTTACATATAATATCGTCATGCCGCTGACGTAAGTGCTTTACATCTGTACTGGCTTTGGTTATTTTCTCTATGGTCGCGTCGTAGTCCATTAGTAGTGCCGGCTTATCGAATAAGCTACATTCGAGATGCAMCTTTGAAATTTGTTGTTTAAGGCGCGTTCGTTCTTTTTTCAGTTTTGATACTATTTCCCGAGTAGTGGACAATTCCAGCTGCAATTGCTGTAGTATCGTTTTTTGGATGCTAACCTTCGCTTGAAGCGAAGTCTTCTGCTCCATGTAGTGTCCCTTKTTTTGTATAGCCTCATGGAATCGCGATCGCATTCTGTTGCATCGAGCATTGCGTTCTTTGAAAATACGTATGTACATAAGTCGGGCAGAAGTGRAATGTTAAAACACAGTATTGAATAAAGCAAAATATTCTTGCCTCTCAATTTCTTTTCCAACTCCWGAACATAACCATGCATTTGCTCATAGTTTGAATATGTCACGCTGTCGCTTAGATCTCTGAACTTATCTGCTTTCTGTGTGTAAGTAAAGATATTTTAGTTGAGATTGGAAATTTTTTAAAATATTACTTTTATATTACTCAACCTAACCTCTTTAAGTACGAAATGCGTATGCTGTTTTCGGATCAATTCGCAACGTCGAGCCGATATTTCATCGCGTACTTTTCTCATTGTACTTAGTTCCGACTTAACAATCTATAAATAAATAAACAGAAATCTAAATTTTATAATAATAAAAAAAAAAAATTACCATTTTTAAATGTTCTTTTTTGTCGCCAAAGGTTTCTTCAACGAGTCGTTCCAATTCCAGCAAYTTTGTATCGTTTTTATTCTGAAACATTGACAGCTTGCGCTCAAGCTCCGTTTTTTTYACATGCACTTCTCTTTTCAGATTTTCTTCTTTACCTAAACTTCTATCGAGCTTCATTAAAGCCTCTTGGTAATTTTGCTTCAGTGTCTCAATGTTATGCGGCGCGTCCTCGGCGAAAACCCGATGTTGGCCTTTGCTGTTGCAAAACATGCCTACACCTTTAATTAAGTACATGCGATTTTTTCGTTCAAATTCTAGTTCCGTGAGCTTTTCTATTAGCTCATTTAATAATAGTGGCTTATCGAGGTTGTGTTGACGAAACTTATTCGGTTCATATTTGTCTATAGCATCAGTAATAAGTGCACTGAGAAATGCTTCCATGTCAAACGCTAACTGCATATTCTTTGAATCCTGTATGTGCGACAATATCTGGGACTTATTCGGTTCTTCTTCGTCAGTATCTTCTCTATTCTCCAGTGTTATTTTACGAATATCTTCATAATTTAATTCTTTTTTCATTTCAGTTTCTAAATAATTGCTYGGAAAAGTCAACAGTTCATCGTCTTCAATCGTCTCCGAAGTCATTTCTGTTGAGTTCTCATTATCGTCTGTTTTCATAAGTTTCCCGAGTGCTTCGTTTGTGTCATCACTATTAATATCCGTTAACTGCTCAACGGTCGATTCAGTAGAGCTTTGATTATCTTCAAGTTTGGGCATATTTCTTGTGTCTGGTAWTGGAAATAAGCTCTGAAGAAACGTAGATGAATGAGATTTTAGTGGTGAAGACCTTTTCTTAAGAAGCTCTAACTTTCTCAGCAATGATATATACGAAAACGTTGAGTATATAACTTCAGTTTGGGTTTTATCTTCTGGTTCTTGGTATTCGATAACTTGCTCTCTACTTTCTTGCGCCAAATCAGTAATCTTATATTGAGATTTAATTCGTAAAAGCCGATTTTGTGTTTGTTCCTCATCGGTGATTGTTCTACGAACAAATTCTTCTACGGGTTGATAACCGATAGTTGGTACCGCCAAACCGATATGTCTTACGGAAGTTCTCATTCTTCCGSTTATTTTTTTAATATTATCAAGTCCCAAAATCTTTTTGCTTAGGCGCTTTTTCTTCATTGTAAAGTTATGGTTAAATAAATACTAAAATATATATGTTTTTCTTACAAATGTACTTGATATAGAATTAAAGTCTGTAAAAATTATGGAGACTTATTAAATTATAATGAGTTTAGAATTAGTTGAAGTTTAAAGCCAGTGTGATTAAAATATATATTTATTTTCTATAGTATATTKTAGCGAAGTATTTATTTATCGAAASACGRAATATCTCAKAAGACCGKAAATTCAGGACTGTCATCAAACAAACAGTTTTCGCACTCGCGACTTGGCTCCCACGTTACTGTTGATAGTCATAACTTTCATAACTTCGAARTCRTAGATAATATCGTCTATCTTGGAACCAGACACTGAAGGCACTGAAGGCCAACCCATCTAAGGCTTATAACAATTATAGATTTGRAAAAATTGGATTAATCGTTGCCCTGATTGTATTGGCTCAAAAGGAGTCTATATTGTGGGAGGAAATTTTTAATACTTGAAAAGTTAAGGTTTTTATCAGTCCGGGTAAAAWTTGAGCAGATGGTATATTATTTTATGATCTCTAGAAATCTAGATCGGAAACTTACATATAAGTAGAGATTAACTCTCTACCAGATCGGCGTTCCAACTAATAAGCCAAACACGAAATAAAAAACCTACGAGACCATTAAAATTATTTGCTATTCGATCGACTTTCCAACTTRTTGCTGCCCAACCTGAAACCCTAAATACCTGTTAGTTGTAGCGAAGAATTAATCTAGTGTCAAATAAAAATACAATTCCTGCGGTTTTCCACGAATGAGAAAAATGTTATACATATTTATTGTTTACTCGTGTGCTTCCCTTGCTTTACATTTTGTTTCAATTTTAGCTATTTTATCCAATAGATCTTTTTTCTGCTTACGTAACGCTGCAATATTTTTAGCCAACACCTCAGTTTGTTCAACGGTRGAATCGTAATCTTTTAACAGCACCGGTTTACTGGACAAACCAGTTTGAAATGTCAATTCCCGTATTTGTCGCTGTAAACCTAAGCGTTCTTCCTTCAAATGCACTAATCTCTCGCGAGATTCTTTCTTATCCTCCAGCAAGCAGGCTAGCGTCTTCTTTTTCATGCCGTTTATAATGCGCGCAATATCGCTTTTAACTTTTATATTCGAGAGCGCATGAATATCRCGATTGCAACGCGCACGAACATAGCCCAATTCCACGCTGCGATCTATATGTATAAAGTTAGTTATAAAGTAGTTTTCTATATATTATTTATATTGTTGTATTTTATGTATACCTTCAACTTTTTTGTGCAAGTCTTTTGTTTCCGTTTGTAAGATCACATATTGTTTCAATCCCTTGCCGTATTCTATATAGTCGTCTTTCTGAAAGTTAAAACTATTATAACCAATATAAAATTTAGAATAGCAATATAGTCGTTTCTGATAAACCACCTGATATCTGAGTACTCTTAAATGAAKGTTTATAAATATAGCGTTTGTAAATAGGAAACCTCTCAAATAGATCATATTGAATATCTTAATTTGCAATATTCAATCTTGAGCCAAGTTATCATATCCAAGAGCTTCTCTGCAAGTCCTTTCAACCATGAACCTAACTTAATCTTCATAATAATTTCCAATACTTTACGCTGAAAAGTTTTGCAGGAACAAAGAAAAGTTACCTTGAACAGATGGAAACGTCCAAGACCCTATAACATATGTATATAAATAACTAAATTCCTTTAAAATTTATTATCCTAGGTAGTGATGATCCTAGGTATTGGCCGCGGTTACGTCTCAGATGGTCCATCCGTTGTGTCTAATTTTCGATGAATCGTTCGATCATTTCGACTGGTAACTGGTTAATGATACACGTGATGTTTTGCTGCAATGCTTAAATCGAAGCGGCATTGTCCGCATAGACTTTCGACTTTACATATCCCATAGGAAAAAGTCTAACGGTGTGGCATCGCACGATCTTGGTGGCCAATCGACTGGCTCAAAACGTGAAATTATCTGCTTTGCGAAGTGTTCTCTCAATAAATTCATTGCTTGATGCGATGTGTGGGAAGTGTTGTGAAACCAAATTTTGCGAAATAACGAGCTTCAATTTTAGAAATCAATTAGTCGGTTATCATGGCGCAATAACGGTTGTCATTGACGTTTACGTTCTCACCGGCAGCATTTTTAAAAAAATATAGACTTATGATTYCACTGGCGCACAAACCACACCAAACCGTTGTTTTTCCAGGATAAAATGGCAGTTCTTCAATCWCRTTAAGTTTAATCTTCGTGCCAAATGTGTCAATTTGACTTCTTTTCATACCCACTGAGCCAGAAATGGGCCCCACCGCTGAAGGAAATTTGTCTGGAAGTCTTACGATATTCTTAGAAGTTTTCAAGAGCCCATAGAGTAAAGCGATGTCGCGGTCCACCAATCGACTCTCCACGGTCGACGTGCACAGTTTAAGCTATGGCTGCTATGTTTTCTCACTGAAATAACATGGCAGCTTGATACGACTCATCCGTGAGCTGCCAAAAAAAAAAAAGCTATTGCAAAAGCACCTCTATTTGTTTCACCCTTTAGCTGATCAGATAGATTGTCATTGGTGTGGCTGTACCGAATCAGCACAAGCAGGAAATAAATGAATGGGATATACAATGAAATTTCTGTCGGATAGAATGCCTTAATGTGAAAAATACGCATGCTTTGTACCAACACGGTCTCGAAAGAACTGCAGGACTACCTACTGACTTCATATGTGAAAGACGCTGGAACACCTCTTATGCCTCTTTCAGYCAGTATCACTTTATCCTATCATAAGTTCGACTTAAATTCCTGGGTTTCGAAAGTTTCGTGAYGTTTCAACTATGAGATCAGAATATATAAAAATTGAAATCAGGTGCAACTGGTAACATCCTTTCTATATATATGCCTGTTTAGATATAATAGTTTAGCAACATTTACCTTCTGAAGTTCTGCTTTCGTGTGTTGTATTTGAATGAGATCGAGATACGTTTTGCACACTTCATTATATGTTGTAAACATTTCGTTCAAAATATTTGTAATAATCTAAAAAAATGCAATTAGAAGAATTATCTAATATTGTTTTTTTATTAAATCATGATAATGCTTTTGTCACTATAAACTCACTGGTTCGGAATTTCGTTTGTCTTTTACAAGCGACTGGAGTACCAATGCTTTAAACTCGTCCTCTTTCTCTTGTGCACTTTCCTGCATCTGCGTGAGCTTTGCATTTAATTGGCTTTGTTCGTGTTCCCATTTCATTTTCATCGCRTATTCCATTCCGAGTGCCCGATCCAACTGCTTCGTAGCATAATTGAGCTTTTCTCTATACTCCATAACCTGATCGGGTAAATCGTCTGTAATGGCGTGATATAATCTTTTACGTTTGTAGAATTCGATAGCTCTGCGATTGAGGACGGCTCGTATGGTACGTTCTACTTCCAATTCGTTCACCTTCTCTAAGATTTCATCCATTACAGCATGTTTATCTAAATTATTACGTAATATTTCCATAGGTTGTTTATATTCGACGACATCTACAACCTCTCCGATTAAGGTATTTAGGAATTTTTCAGCTTCCGCCATCATTATTTTCAATATTCTCTCACGTTCGAGCTTTTCTGCTTTAAGCTGCATAAAATTTGGTTTCTCCACTATAGTCACCTTTAGTCTCGTTAAAAAATCTTCTAAAGAATCAGCTTTAAGCTCATCTTTGGCTACTACTTCCGTTTCCATTTTTTCGAGTTCCAATAATTGTAGTATCTCACTATCTTCAGACATCGATATGTCCGCTTGCAATTCCACCGTCTCAGTTTCCTCTTCTTCTTCTTCATCTCCCATTTCGCCAACTTCGCTATCGACAGTTGGAGTGGGCGGCTTTTTTCGCTCAATTAAAGTCTCACCAGTTAGTGGATCCACAAATATTCCTTCGTCCATAGGCTCCGGTTCGATTTCGACCGTAGTTCGAACACTTTTTCGAGAGTCTATATCTTCGGAGACTTCGTCGAGATCTGGTATACCTCCATAAACTTGTAGTAAGTCAACATACATGCTCTCCATTACTGGAAGCCCGTGATGCGATGCACTCTCGTCCGTCTCGGTAGTTGAATAATCGCTCTCATACAATGATGAGTCATCAAATATTCGCGACATAATGTCCGACTGACGGCTTTCTTCTGCGGTAAATGATCGCGCGGCTTTTGATGCAATACTTTCTGGCAARGAGACGTCACTTTTTTGTGCGCGTAAAAGGCTGTCAACGTCTTTGGGTTGTTCGGTTTCAACTTCATCCTTCGACACTTTCAAGTAGGTATGTGTCTTCTTCTTTTTACGTAAAACTAAAGTTGGTTGTTCCGCCATGACTTAGTGACCGTATACCGAGATTACAGTTACAAAATGAAAATATAATTATAATATATAGGTATATATATAAAGATATATTTTTACGTGTTATACTAGTGTTCAGTAATTTAGTTATTGAAATTAAATGCGTACCCCCCGTATATAAAATATTTTTGAATGAAAAGTAAAACAAATCAAAAGCTGAAGTAAAAACCTATACCGATAATTTGTAAAGTAAATGTGGGGATTCTCTAAAAAGTACTTTTCATAATGAAGAATAATTTTCTTGCTTGGATACAGTTTCTATTTCATTGAAACGCGGTGAATCGGTGTAAGCGTTTGTCAAGCCAGTATTGACGTTTAGAAAGTTATCTTATGGGTTTGGGATTGGATTTACTATAAGATGTTCTTGAATTACTGGAACTAGCAATCGCTCAAAGCGGCACCCTTTGCCGATAGGATAGAATTTGTCTTACATCCGCACAACATCAGGCCCCACACATCGATGTAAGCTCGCCAGAAGTATCGCAAGCTTGGTTGAGAGGTCTGCATCCGTTAATAGTATGGCTTATTTTTCTGGTAAAAAATTCCCCACAAACCACTCAAGACGGTCAGTCTTCAGCATGACAATGCGAGCTCTCACACATTGATTGAAGAAACTGCATTATTGAGAACTTGAAACATATATCTAAAGAGAGATCCACCGTAAAGTACTGACTTGGCACCGAATGACAAAATAATATAGATTTTAATTGAGAATATTTTTATAAACAAAAAAGCCATTTTCGATGATTAACCTTTGATAATAAAATCGAATTCCGAATTATAAAAGGTGACCTACGTATATGATGTATCTTTCTCTTTCGATGAACAAAGACATTATTTATGTTATTGTGGTGGACTTTCAATTTTGTGACTGTTGGTGAAAAAAAGTTTGTTGCGATATACTACCTTTGGCTCGTTCAATAAAAGAGGGTTCAATGGGGTATAATCACCTTTTAGTTCGCTGTTCAAACTTATTAATGTTCCATCACTTAATTGTTTTTCTTATCCTTACCCATAATAAATTTAAATGTTTGCGAAACTCTAATAAATTATCCCGTAATTGTTTGCTGATTCAATGTTTTAGACAATAGATGTATGTACATATACGAGTACTAACATTATTCTCGTCATATTGTTTGCGATGTCATCATAAACTTCCTCTTCATTAACAAGAAGACAATCAATCATTTAGCTTAATAGATTACAYAGTATGTTCTCTTAATATATTTCACTTTTAGGCCATCCCTTATGATATGCAAATAAGGGTGTATATGAAGTTTATTATTTAGGATTAATAAACTTGAACGAAAACAGTTATGTCTTTACACATCAAGCAATAAGTAATTGCTTTGACCATATTTACTAGTGTGTATATTCCATATATATATATATAAATATATACAATGATGTAGTGTTTATGACTTAATTTGATAGTCAATCATTATTTTAATCGTAATGTAACGCAATTAAACTTTTTACTATAGTATTTTTGTCGGACTTCCTGTCTTAATATCAGCTCTTGGAGGAAAATGAGAAAATACATATTATATTTATAATATAAAATGTTTATGTGTATGTGTGATTTAAGATAAATAGAGATTAAGTAACTTTTTTTCAATGTCGGCAAAATTCTCCTAAAAAAATTCTTGGGTTTGTCGAACGGTCCTTGTACAACTGATGGATCAACAGATGCCAAACCCACTTTCATATCCACAAATTAATTTTACTGCAGTTGCTAATGGACTGTGTAATACCGTTAAAGCTGGATGAGCTTCAGCGTCTACATTGTGACAGTTTCAAATGATCACAAATTACAAAAATTTCATATATTATTAGAATATATTATTAGAACAGAGGTTTAATTGATGAATAACAAAAGCTCGGTAACTGCAGATAGCTTATACAAAATTATTTTTTTTTTTTATAAAATTATTTAACTCTTACTTATACAAGAAAAACCGGTAACTTCAGTTCCATCGAATTTAGTAGGTAGAATAAAAAGGTATACATCGATTGCATGGCAGCTCCATATTTGTTGGTTGTAGTAGTAGTTATCGGATGAGTTTCTACGAAGATTGTGTCATTGGCTTGAAATAAGAACCATATTTTGATTGACCAGTTTGTATGACAGTTATAAAYTACTATGAGCAAAAAATAGGAAGACGTTGTCTCCCTTAGCCTSCTTAGCCCAATACACTTGTGCCAACGTTTTTTGTAATTCTCTTGCTAAAGCCAATTTTCGGAACAACCTTCATTGTGCGTAGCAATCTTCAATTGACTCAAARCGAWTTCCCCTAAKCAGTTTTTTGAGTTTGCTTAATAGTCAGCTAATCGCKAAGCTGTGAACATAACCATGTTTTTGAACTTTTGACGTGGTTTTTCTGCTCACCTTTGCCACGATATTCGTCCGATTGATCGTCTAATTCCGGGTCGAAAACATACATAGATTCAAGATTTATCGCTAGTAATAATATGTTTTAAGACATCCTTGTAGTCGGAAGGTATTAATTTACAGACATTAACACGACGTTGTTTTTCGTAAAAAAATTGTGATTTTCGAACCAATCGTGCTTTCATGTTTCTTAGGTTTGACCGTAAGGGCCCTTCCGATATTCCAACGATGCCAGTAAGATCTTTGACTGTTAATCGTCGATTCTCAAAACAAAGTTTTTTATGTTGTTAACATGTTGATCATCACCATAAGAATCGCCGAATGCAATTTATTTACTTCAGGAAGACAAACGTATGGTATACAAACATGAATGATCATTTTGATGTGATATTTGGGACAGTTGCCTCTCACTGTCATATCAACCTAAAAAAAAAAAATATTTCGACTAAATTTAAATTAAAAAGTCTTACTATTTTTTACCCACAGTAGTACTGTAGTAGTCGATCTGAACTATTTCTTCAGATATTATATCGATGCCTTACATAATAATCGATTGCAAATTTTGTGAATAGATTTCGATCGTTTAGTTCGTATGACAGCTATATGCCTTTGTGGTCCGATATTGGCCGTTTCAAAATTTCAGATCTATATCTGAAAAACTGAGAAACCAAATTATTTTATTATGAATTAGGTATAATCTATATGCCACCACTTAAAAGGTTTTAAATCACACTTGCTTTGTTCTTGGAAGATCTGGAATACATTTTTATTCTCGGCTTTGTTAACTTCTTTAACTCGAAGACGGTCGAAACTTTGAAATTATTAAGGAATGGTTAACCATTATAATATAATATATATTTTTCTATAAATAAAATATATAAAGCCTAAGGCTAGCTTCGAGTGAATTTTAGGATAAAACTTTAACCAAAATTGGTCCAAAAATATTGATTCTACAACGAATTGTAAGTAATTGAAAATAGCAAGAAAGTGGAAAGAATTCATAATAGAGCTCATTAAAAAATTAAGATATAATAAAAATAATTTACGTATGATCTGAGAACGGAAAGAGGAACGGGAGGGGCGTTAAAAATTGGTCATAAAGATGTCGAAAATTTTTAAGTAAACACAAGTTTAGGTTTGTGCTCTAGTTACCTAAAAAATTATTTTTATTTGAGACCAGCTATTTTGACTTAAGTTATAGGCAAAAAGCTTCCGGCCCTACTGAAATTGGTAGACATGGAGATGTTTTTGGGTATGATTTAATTCATACATTTGTTTAATTAAGGAAAATTAAGAGTAATGAGGGTTGCCACTTTGTWTAAACTTCATTATATGTGACCTGGTCTACGAAAAGGGAGCTAATGTGYGAAAATTTTTRGATTCTATCACGTGAARAAGCATCTCATCTTTCATCCGAATCGACTAAAAAGTGAAAACTGATTTTTGGACACCTAGCCCCCTTTCCATAGACCAGGTCACATATACTTTTGTTTTTTGAATATTTAATTAGCACATGAAATTAGTGTTTTTTGCGAGTGTACCGTTATTTTTTTGTTACCGCGTTTTCTAGTTTACGAAAATTATGTAATAAAATTTTCTAATAGAAACAAGATAAAAGAAAATATTTGTCGAAAGTGTGAAATTGTATAATGAATTTAAAAGTTCTCCATAAGTAGTGCTGTTTATTGAATTGCGTCATATTTCTCAATTATAAAAGTTCTTCAATAGAATTTCATAAAGTTACTAATTGATGAAATGCAATTATTAGATATCAGCTTTCACACATGCATATTTAATAGGGGCTTTAAAAAGCTTTACTGCATTTTTGACGCTTTCTCACAATGTATATATATGTACCATAAATACTCACATATCTGTAGTTAGAAAATTAATAGTAAATCGCCACTGCGCTAATATACAAATAGTTTCGCGCCAGACGCCGATCGTGCCAGACATACAACTTCTATTGCAAAAATAATATTCGTGCYATTTTGTGTGAAACGAAATACAAGTGAGAGCGCGTTTTTGTGAGCGACACGAGAGAGTAAAAAAACATTGCAAACATGTCAACAGCTGATGCAAATGTAAACAATAAGACCGAACCGGACACGGTCAAATGTGCAACACAAACTACCGCTAATAATGCTAGTAAAATTCCCGACTGGCTTAAGGCTGATTTATTTGTGAAACTGCTCAAACAAAATGTCACCGATTTTAAGCAAATCAAAAGTTTTTCCATTGAGCCAACACAAGAGGCGGGCGATAACTATAGCACGATTATGACCTCAGTGAAACTCGTAGTTGAGTTGAAAAGTTGAGTTTGACCTTGAAATTCAAATAGTGCACAATATTAACTAAAACTTTAAATTTTAGCTGGCAAAACGCAACAGGTGTCTTATATGTTAAAGCTGCCAATAGAATGGGTGCAGAACTTATTGAAGRGTACCAATGTGTTCGATGTAGAGACCATGATGTATGGTATTGTCATACCAGAGCTGGAGAAGCTCTATAGTGATGCCGGTGTTGAAGTGAAATTCGGCGCAAATTATTATGAACTCGAAACACCGTCCGAATACGGTGTTATACTCATGGAAGACTTGCGACTGCTTGGCTTTAGAAATGCTAAACGTTTAGAGGGTCTCGATAAAGAACACACCGAAAGGGCATTGAAAAAGTTGGCGCAATGGCATGCCGGTACCGCTACACGCGT